GCTATCAACTAGCAACCAAGTTTGCTAATAGTTTAAATTACAAATGGCCTTAGATTAGAAAGTTCCTAAAATTTTATTTTCTTTCAATCATTTGAGCAAGCTAGAAATGCTTGTCAGACAACACATTTCCCTACCCTCAATTAGGACCTGGGTGAGATATCTAGAGGAAAGAGCCAAGCTCTTGTTTCTTTCTATGCATCACAGAACAAAAAGAGCCAAACTCCTTAGAATCACAAGGATTCCAAAGGCATCATGGCACAAATGGAAAAAGTCAGATGCCTAGCATTGTAGATATGTTTCTGGTTAAACTATGAGACCCTGACTCTCTTCACAGACTAAAAGCCAATTCAATTCAAGAAAACTGACAAAACATCCCTTTCTTAGAGAAAACGGACTGTACAAATTACACACAAAAAGCTAAAATTTCTACCACTCGTTGAAAAACAATAAGAGCTTCTATTAGCAGTTCCTTTCCCTGCAAAACACACTCTGAGAAACAAACTGCAGGGTCTATCTAGCTGGAGTGCAGAGACCCAGTCCCCATCAAAGGTACATCAAAGTTGTAATCAAAACCTGCTTTTCTTTATGAAACTAAGCAACTGCTGCTATTTAACACCCACATATTGCTGGAGCTCATTCAATTCCCTCCACAACTGACTTAGTTTAAAAGGAAAAAATGCTTTGCCTCCTGCAGACAGTGGGAGAGGACTGAGTCACGCAGATCTCTAAGGAGAAGTGTAGGTACATATGCAAAAACCCAAAGGGGCTGCACACTACTGCTGGGCCCTATTTCACCAGGAGTCTAAGCCTACTTTCAAGCTTTTTGTAAAGAAAAAAAAAAGACTCTTAGGGTACTTGACTATGGGGCGGGACATGTTACGCCACTTTGCCTTCTTTCTGATGATCACAGAAGGAGAAAACTAAGAAGAGGATGACAAGACATGTACAAGACCAAACTTTGCCATATGGTTTTTCAGAAGAAGAGGAAACAGCTTTCCCCTCCACCCCCTGACACACTGTTCCAAAGGCTCTGTAACTAACAAGCCATGCCAACACAATGCTAGGTTCTGTAGCGCAGTGACTCAGAAGTCATTTTCGTAGCCAACATGAAATGTCAAGTAACATATCTCTGATAAGACAGAAGACATTTCTCCAGGAAGCATGGCCTCTGAGTGTCTCTCTTATGTAAATTAGCCCTGGAATTTAAAAACTGCTGTCTTTTAGGTGGAATGGCAGCCTATATGACATACAGCATGCACCCAAGAACAGCCTAAGAAAGCCAAGGTCAGGTACACATGTTCAGTCTTCCATTACCACCCCACCACAAAGAGCATTATTTATGGGAACCAATGTCTATTTTAAAAAAGAAAAAAACTAATAAAGTACAAATAGAAAATAGAGAATGGAAAGAAAAGGGATCCTACTAGGTTCCTTATGCATGTGTGGCATGCAAAATTTGGAGATTAAGAACTCTGAGGGAAGGCTTTGAGTCTGTATATTCAAGAATATATATGCTCAGGGATAGAGCCAATCAAAATGGGTGGCATTTACCAGTAACTCCTATTGGCCTCATCTCACAACGCTCCAAGACTAGGATTCCTGAAGGGCAAGAGTTCTTAGCATGTACAGCAAGTACCTATGTGGTGAACAAAGGAAATGAGAGAAAAAGAACTACATGAGGCCTATACCCGACTTCTCTTTTCAATAACAGATTCTTTGCTCCAAGAGTAGCACAAGCTATGATTAAAGTGGCAGTATAATTGTTGAATTTTTTTTGTGCCTCTAACACCTGCGAAGGGAACATGGTGACAAGAAATATTCAGCAACCCAATTATTTCATGCAGGTTTTCATCCACCCAGAAAGTGGTCCTCAAAATAGAATGGAACTTGCTCTGCTTTACCAATCTGGTAGGTGCCTAGGGCAAAAGAACCAAGAAAGCTCCTAAAATTGTTCATCGGTATTTTCAAGAAACAAAATTAAAATAAAATAAAGTTCATGAAGTTTAACAAATAACTTCCAAAGTTCATTTAATTACTTAATGGTGTGTATAGCATGTATGATACAATGCCTTGTTCTAAGGCTCTGTCTCCGGAGAGATATAAGATATTGAGCACTCTTCCCAGAAATGGAAAGACAGATTAGATAACTGGTCTTTCCAGTTTCAGGAATATTTTAATTCAACTGGGAAAGAATGGGACCAGATTCAAGGTCCTTGCTGTCTAGGAACTTGGGGATAGTTAGATATACATTTTGAACAAGTAACTAGAGAAAAGGAAATTGAGAGAAATTTTTTTTTCTATCAGAAGTTAAGAACTTAATACATTTATAATGGACTAAGTCTATTTCTTTCTTGTGTGTGTGTGTGTGTGTGTGTGTGTGTGTGTGTGTGTGTGTATGGGCTTAAGCTAGGACCTTACACTTGCATGGGTTTCTTTCTTACTGTTGGTGCTCTACCACTTGAACCACACCTCCCCCTCTATTTTGCTAGTCATTTTGAAGATGGAGTCTAGTGGACTTTTCTGCCCAGACTAACTTCAAACCACCGTCCTTCAGACTCCAAAGTAGCTAGTAATACACGCATGAATCACTACTGCTTGGCATTTTCCTATATATTTTAACAAAAGACAGTTGCATAACAGACTAAAGTGGTAAAGATCATTAGAGTTTTACACATTGGTTCTGGTGAAGTAAGCATTTACTAGAGGTCACTACTGGAAATGCATCATTGACAATGAGAACAACTATAGAGACAAAACTTTCTATCTGAAGTGGATTTTCAGGTCTCAACATGAACAAAGCAACTCACAACTCACAAAAAATACTGGCTGTTAATCATCTCAAACCTGGGAAGAGATAGTCTTAGAAGTAGGGTGATAGGATCAATGAACCATGCTGTGTCTATTCAAGGATGGAAACGTAAGAGGATGTACGGCAACAGAATGGAAGCCAAACAGGGAAGAAATCCACATAAGCCAAAAGAATGGAAATAGGTCATACCAAATTACATTTGAGGGATAGCAAAGGTTCAAAACCCGAGAACATTTAGTGAAAACTAAGGCTACCATTATTCAGTGCCTATAACATGCTAGGGGTGTCCAAATGCTGGGATTACAGACATGTACATCTATGCCTATCTCTACTTCAGCACCAATAAGGTAGATCCACAGGACTCAGACCAAGGCCTCCTGTCCGTTAGCCATACATAGTCCCTAGTTGGTCTCAGAAAGTCTCATAATTCTAGCGTAATTTGTACATAATGATCCCCAAATCACTACTCAACCTTGACATTACCTCTAAGCCCCAGCTGACATTTTCACTTGAATGTCTGACGGATATCTCAAGCTTAATATATCTTCCTTTGGATTCATCTACTAAAAGTGAAACAAATAGAAACTCACTGCTCCTTCCAAACACTTCTTACCACCCCCACAATTGCCACCCACCCCATCTCCAGCCTGTATCACTGCAGAGTCTCCCAGGAAGTGAACTTGTCCTTCAGTGACCCTCCGACTCCATGCATTGCAAACCTTGCCATTTGTAGACTCTAGCTATCAATGCTGTTGCTGAAATGCAGACAACAACTTAAGAGGAGTTCTTGGACCGGGGATAGCAGAAACGATAGATATTGGCTGTGAATTGTTTAATTCAAGGAAAAGTACAGAGTGGGATGAAGGACATTTGAGCACATCCACAAAAGAACAAAAGAAATAGCAAATCCTTACCTCAATATCCTCTCCTTGTTCCTGACTCTCCTTTCAGTTGTTTAAAGGGTCGCCTCTACTAAAAGCCTGGACTTGGAACTCACGTTGTACCCCCAGGTACTATGGCCTATCTGAAAAGCTCTGAGCAAGAGTGTCGAATGCTCTTCAGAGTGTCATGGAAAGCACATGAGCAACACGTGAAGGAGATGACTGCTTTCTTTCAGAAGAGCTAATTAAGATTTTATATAGGAAGAGACAAGAAAAAGAACTGAGTTTCTTGGAGATAACATGGGGTGGCCTGGAAAGAAACAGCAGTGGGTGGGAAGAAGAAAGGCAGGGGAGGGAAGAAGAAGGGGCAGGGGGAGGAAAGAAGTGTCGGGAAGAGTGGGGAATATTTGAAAAGTAGGTTAGAAGTTGGGCATCAGAAGTTGGGGGATGGGGAGGGAATACCAGACTTCAGATAGAGATTGTTTCAAGGATGCAGCTGGGGTTAGAAGCAGGCCTGATGGTAAGGACTAGGCAGGTTCATACCTGCAATTGTTCATCTTTCCACTCCTAAGTGCCATATAAATTTAACGAGCTCCAAAAGGGACGATGGGAGGCCAGAGACTTAACAATCAGAGGTTAAAATCGAACTAGGCAATGAAGGGTAGGGCAAGAAGTTAATGAGGTAGGAAGAAAAACACCGTCCAACATTGTAAGACAAACGCACGTTATGATTCAGTCCTCAGGACCCAATTAAGTTCCCATTAGCAGTGGTGTAGGGGCTTGACTTCTCGCCCTACCACAACCATCCTTCCAACGCCTGGGGAGACATTCCAGAGAAATTCAGCTAGAACGTGGCTCTTCTTCACACCTGCGAGGTAGTGGACAAGCCTTTCATGAGTGGGCTGCCCACTCAGCTTTGTCCAAGCCCCACCATGGGGAAATGAGGAAAACTGAGAGACACGCAGCACAAAAGCAGCAACCACAACTCCTTTCTTTGTTCCTTCCCCTTCCTATCCTCGAAGTGCCTAGAAGGATGCCCAGCAAATAGGGCTTGCGCCTAGCAGGGAGCTGCTCCGCTCAGAACCACTGCATTCCAGCCGGGTATTGAAGGCTGCGACCAGTGAAGACGCCCAAAGTAGCGCAGATTAGAGATGGCAGCAGCCGCTGCTGGAGGTGGCTGTAGGGGCGACCTGCCAGGCCTGGTTGAGCCTCCCCCCGCCCTCGCCCCCGCCGCCCCCGGAAGCCACCCAGGACGGGCTGAGCAGAGGGCCTCTGCTCCAAGGCCCAGAGCTGCACGGTCTGGAACTGACCTTCGTGCGGGGGCGCCCGCGCGGGGCGCAGCAACCGGGCGTGGGCGCGGGGGGCACTCGGAGCCCACTGCGCACGTATGTCACCTGCCTCCTGCTGGAACCCCGCGGCGGGCCCGGCGGGGGCAGCAGGTGCGGCCTCTGAGGCCGGTGATCCGGGCCCGGTGGGGCGCTGCGGGCTGGGGGTCCCGACCCCGCGCGTCGCAGCTCCAGGCAGAGTCGCAAGACCAGCAGCAGCAGCGCGTCGCCGAGCAGCCACCGGCGCATGATGCCGCGGCCCCGGCCGGGTGGCCTCTCCCTGGCCATGGCGGGGCCCGGGGTCCGAGGGGCGCTCAGGGTCCCGGGCGGGCAGCTCCAGATCGATGCCGATCGGTAGGTAGCTAGCGGAGATGGGGACCCGAGCTGCCGATGGCGGGGAACTCCCCAGCGGGCTGGGGGCACAGGCTCCGACCCGCCTCCCTGCCTCCCGACCGGCCCCGGCGTAACCTTATCCCGCCCAGCCAGGCGCGCCCGGCCACCGCCGCGACCCAGGGCTGCGGTGAGCCGCCCCACCGGGCAGGGGACCCTCAAGGGGCGCCCTCGCCCCGCGCCACCGGCCTGCAGACCCTGGGGAAGACCGAGGTCCCAGGCCCGCAAGAGCACGTTGCCAAAGGACCCCGGGCCATCATTGCATGTCATGGTGTTAGTATTACTGGAGCGGCGCCCGAGGAGGGCAGGGGGCCTGCCAGGCTCTCCACACCGAGCAAGTTCGGATCGCCCAGCCGTTTGTGCCATGGGGCACCATATAAAAATAGATCATCCTTGGGCTCCGGTTTACAACTTCTCTCCCTCAAGAAAGAAGCAGGGAGGGAGCGCCGCGCGCAAGAGAGGGGGGGAGAATAGCACTGAAACGCAGAATAATCAAATTAGAGTTCTTCCATTTCTAAATTCTGCCTGAAGCCAAACCCATTGCTTTCCCTTCGTGTTATGAAACGTGTGGGGGTGAAGAAGGAGAGGGGCAGAGCCAGCGAAGGCATCTGACAGCAGGGAAAGGGAACAGAAGTTACCATGGCGTGATGTAAATCAAATTAATTTAGCTCCAAACACACACCTCCCTGCTGTCTTGCAGAGATACAGAGGGACAAATTTATCTTTGGGCAAAACGCTCCCCAGCTGGTATTTCCATCATCACCTTCACCTTAATTAATCAGACGGAACAGTCACAGCCTGGTAGTTCAAGGTTGAATGTTCCAATTTCAATTGTTGCTATAATTCTTTCCCATCCTTGGTTTGGGGATGGGCTTGTCTTCTAAGTATAGGCTTAGTTCCTTTACGGTTTTGTTATCGTTTGTTTGTTTGGGGGTTGTATGTTTGCTGTTCTGTATTGTATGGTTGTGGGGGGTGGGGTGCTTTTAAAGTTATGGCCAGTTTTCCCCAACTCTGCATGGTTTATGTTTGCATGTTAACGTGGTTCAGAATAGGAGTGTCCCTGTTGACTTTCCACTCCCTTTCCCTCAGTATAGACAACAGAGACTTACTATGGAGCCCCAGTGCTCTCCCGGATTCAGTTCCCATAGGAGGCTTTCTTCTCTAAAACCCTCTTCCTTTCCTATCTTAAGAAAAGCTCAGCTTAGAGGTGACATTGATCAAGATGCATTGTAGCTATGAACTGATATGTTGAATCAAATTCCCTTCATACAACTACCTAAAGATAATAAAGATTTATCACTGAACAAAGCATTTACACTATTTCTCTCCATGTAACAAACTTCCCAACCCAGTCCAGTCCGTTCCTAGACCCCAGCAGGCTTCTGAAGGTTTTGTTTTGATTGACTTTGATTTTTTTCTTTTTTAGATGCAGCCTTCCTACCCCCAGGGAAATTGCAGATGGTCTCTGTGTTAAAGGATCTCCACAAGTACGTTTCTTTTCTTCACACAAACTAGAGGAGACAGGCTCATATCCTGTAACTATACCTGGACTGTGCTTTCATCAGGACCCTGTCATTCAGCCATGGGAGACTTTTAGGCAATGCACTTAACCTCTTGGCTTCAATTTTCCTGTGGGGAAACATATTTGTAAATATGGTAGGAGTATGAATGTTGCATAACTATTGTATAAGTACCTAAGTAATATCTGGCCCACAGAAAATACTCAATTAGATCTGGGTACCCGTGGTTTATGCCTGTAATCCTAGCTACTCTGGAGGCTGAGATCTGGCTCAAAGCCAGCCCAAGTAGGTAAGTCCGTGAGACTCTTATTTCCAATTAAGCACCAGAAAACCAGAAGTGGTGCTGTGGCTCAAATAGTAAGAGTACTTACCTTGAGCTGAAGAGCTCAGGGATAGCACCCAGGCCCAGAGTTTAAGCCCCATGACCTACAAAAATAAAAATTAAAAAGAGAATACTCAATTGACAGTGATTTTTATATTATTGATCATTAAAGAAAATTCCAAAAGTGATGAAAACAAAAAATAAGCTTTTTCCCCCCCAAGATAATCAGGTATAAGAAAACAAGGAGAGAGCCGGGCACTGGTGGCTCACACCTGTAATCCTAGCTACTCAGGAGGCTGAGATCTGAGGATCACCATTCAAAGCCAGCCCGGGCAGGAAAGTCCATGAGACCCTTATCTCCAATAAACCACTAGAAGTGGCACTGTGGCTCAAGCAGTAGAGTACTTGCCTTGAGCTGAAGAGCACAGAGGCAGCAACCAAGCCCAGAGTTCAAGCCCCACAACCAACCAAAAAAAAAAAAAAAGACAACATAAGGAGATTAATACTTACCTCACAGTGTTCTCTGCAATTGGGAATACCCAATAATTCCAAGGAAATAATTATTAAAATTCAAAATCCCACAAATACACCCTATGAACTTGTGTAGTTATGTGATACTACTGAAGACATGATTTATTTATAGAACCGGAGGCATGGTTCAAGTGGTAGAATGCCAGTCATGACTGAAAAAAAGTAAGAGTTCAAGGCTCTTGGTTCAAGCCAAAGCACAGCCACAAAAGAAGAAAAAAAGAAAAGAAAAGAAAGGTCAGATGCCAGCGACCCACACCTGTAATCCTACCTACTCAGGAGGAGGCTGAGATATGAGGTTCATGGTTCATAGCCAACCTGGACAGGAAAGTCTGAGAGATTCTTATCTCCAATAAACTATTCAAAAAAGCTGGTAGTGGTACTGTGGCTCAAGTGGTAGAGTGCTTGCCTTGAACAAAAGAAGCTCAGGGATAGCGACCAGGCCCAAAGCCCTAACTAAGACTAGTAAAAAAAGAAAAACTTAAAATTAAAAGACATAATTTGTACAGTGCTTGATAAATCTGGATCAGCAGTGTCTGACTTTGCCCCACGTTTTATTTTCTATACAATCTGTACAGTGTCACTAATCTTTTGAATGTGTGGTACAACTGATGAATTCCTTCTGCTCATCTATTAAGTTCTTTTGATAGATAGATTATTAAAATAAAGACATTTAATAAGACTCAACAGGGGGTGGAGCAGAGGGTGGGTGGGTGCATACAGAACAGTGTAGCCCTTGAAGAAAATGGACGAGATGACCTCATATTTTCCTTTATCTCATTTCTATGGTTGGTTAATAAAATGTTTCCATTATGAAAAATAACTAAATTAAATGCAATATTTAAATGCCCTTTTGATTCTCTTGTGCAGCTATATCTATGAGTTTATTATTAACCCAAGAGACCTGTTTCTATGTATGTAGAATAATTAATTTTCAAGGAAGAAATCTCTCATTTTTAACTCCACACAACATGTCCCTGTGTCCTGGATGATCATGAATAGTGAAATGGGCTGTTAGTATGCCAGAGAGGCAAATCTGACTGATCACTGTGCTAGCTGACACTCCGTCTTTCATTCACGACCTTTGCTTTTCTCATAGAGTTGAACTCATCTTGGTCCTTTCTGGATGTGTTTCAGAAATGCAGATCACCATTAACCACTGTGTCACAGGTTAGCTAATTAAACGTGCAGTTCAGCAAACCACAATAGCAGCTTTTATCCGATCACAAATTATATCCCTTATGAGGGGTATAATTTAGCCAGCAAAATGAGTGAAACAAAACATCACTACTGCAAATCTAGACTTTGTTCATTTCAACTCGCACACCTGCTGGAATTCAGTGGTTCTTAACCGTAGCTAACTTTGCCTCCCCAGGGAACATTTGGCACTGTCTGAAAACATTTTTGGTTGCTATAGCTGATAGGAGTAAGGGAGAAGATGCTATCAAACATCCTCCAATGGCAAAGATAGAGTTCCACAATCAAGCTTGATCCAACCCAACATGTCAGTGGAGCCAAAGCTGAGAGACCATGCTGTAACAAAAGATGCAGGGTTTACTTTCCAGATTGTCCAAGGAGAACAGCAGAGGCTGATTCTACACCTCTGTGAAATGGTATTTCTGTTTCACCCATTACAGTACACAGCCTGAATTAAAGAAACCAGATGTACAAGAGGAATAAAACTTGAGTGTCCACATCAACACTTCCTGGACCCACCCTCACTGTCCTTCCTGTCTGCAATGCATGGTCAAGTTCATGCAGACAAAAGAAAATATCAACAATGATTTTTAAACTCATGACTCAGAGATAACTAGACTGTCAGACTTTTTCCTATATGCATGTAGTTCACCAAATTGAAATCATGGTGTGATCTTTTAAATCTGCTTTTATAATAGTTTTCATATGAACTAATGCAATATCTTTTTTTTTTTTTTGGCCCGGTTGTGGGGTCTGAACTCTGGGCCTGAGCACTGTCCCTCAGCCCTTCAGCTCAAGGCTAGTGCTCTACCACTTGAGCCACAGAGCCACTTCCGGCTTTTTTGTTTTTGCTTATGTGGTGCTGAGGAATTGAACCCAGGGCCTCAGGCATGCAAGGCAAGCGCTCTACCACTGAGCCAACTTCCCAGCCCCAACTAATGCAATATCTTGAGATATACTTAAAGATAATACTACAAGGAGGCAAGAGGTAAGCAGGGTTATAAATAAACAAAAATGGCTTGGAGTTGATGGCTATTATAGCCAGCTCTCTATCATTGAGCAGATTTGAAATTATCATAATAAAAATGTCCTTAAACTGTTCCCTATTAGCCACAACATCATTTAATAAAAAACAAATTTTACTATGTACATGGGCAATTTACAACATGACATTATAAGACAAAGCAAGTGAAATGTAGATTCTGTAGTGAAGTGCATTAACATCTCTACAATCTCATATATGTCCTAGAGTAGAAGTGTCCAAAATTTATGCAGTCCCTTCCCTCAATAGGGATAGATTACAAGACCCTCATGGATATTTGGAGCTATGA